CAAATTGGGAGAATTTGTATCTACTTTAAATTTCCGAGGACATGCAAAAAACGATACTAGATCTCGTCGTTAATGTTTTTAAAAAATATTTAGTAGGAGAGAAAGCTTATGTGGCTAAAAAAAAAAAAAAAGGGAAGTACGCGCTTTAGGTCGACATATATCTCTATCCGCTGACAAAGCAAGAAGAGTAATTAATCAAATTCGGGGGCGTTCCTATGAAGAAACACTTATGATACTGGAACTCATGCCCTATAGAGCATGTTATCCCATTTTGAAATTGGTTTATTCTGCAGCAGCAAATGCTAGTTCCAATATGGGTTCCGACGAAGCCAATTTACTAATTAGTAAAGCTGAGGTTAACGAAGGTACTAGTGTGAAGAAATTCAAGCCCCGAGCTCGGGGACGTAGTTATGCGATAAAAAGAACTACCTGTCATATAATTATTGTAGTGAAAGATACCTCTTTAGATGAATATGAAGAGATAGATTTTTTTAAAAAACCTAGATAGGAAAAGAAAACTATGGTATATCATGATGTATATAGTAGTGGAGTAGTATGGGACAAAAAATAAACCCACTTGGTTTCAGGCTTGGTACAACCCAAAGTCATCATTCGGTTTGGTTTACACAACCAAAAGATTATTCTGAAGGTCTACAAGAAGATCAAAAAATAAGAAATTTTATTAAAAATTATATCCAAAAGAATATGAAAATATCTTCCGGCGCCGAGGGAATTGCCCATATAGAGATTCAAAAAAGAATCGATTTGATCCAAGTGATAATCTATATGGGATTCCCAAAAGTATTGATTGAAAATCGACCTCTAGGAATCGAGAAGAATTACAGATAAATTTACAAAAAAAATTTCACTACGTGAACCGAAAACTTAATATTGCTATCACAAGAATTGAAAAACCTTACGGAAACCCTAATATTCTTGCAGAATTTATAGCCGGGCAATTAAAGAATAGAGTTTCATTTCGAAAAGCAATGAAAAAAGCCGTTGAATTAACTGAACAAGCAGACACAAAAGGAATTCAAGTGCAAATTGCAGGGGGCGTATCGACGGAAAAGAAATCGCACGTGTTGAATGGATCAGAGAGGGTAGGGTTCCGCTACAAACAATTCGAGCTAAAATTAATTATTGTTCCTATAGAGTTCGGACTATTTATGGGATATTAGGCATCAAAATTGGATTTTTATAGACAAGGAAGAAGACTAAGAAAATTTTAATTGTTTTTCGCTTTATGCATTGATTATGCAATTCATTGAAATTTTTTTTTGTTTTGTATTTTAAGTTTTATTTTTTTCTGGTCAATTCTAATTCTTAATTCTAGAGGATTGAATAAAAAGTAGATTGACTTTGATATAATTGCTATCTTAGTGTGTACTCGTTGGTTTTTTAAGGTTAGGGTTAAAAACCCGGTAGTATGAAAACCAATTCATCACTTCGTATTATCTGGATCGAAAGAACCAGTCAAGATATGATAAATCGTTCATATCCTTGTAGCAACTGAAATTTTTTTGAATAAACTTAAATTCGCAGTTTGAAGCAAAATCCAAAAGAAAGGGGCGGATAAATGGAAGGATGAGAGAAAGAGAGAAAAAATATCTCGGATATAGAATTCCAATATGTAAGGTCTATGAAACATCTCATAAAAGACAGTGTAATAAAGCATCAATACTAAATAGATTAATAATTAAATATTAAATGAATCCTTCTTAATATAATATAAGAAAAAAGTGTTTTTTACGAAGAAAATTAAGGGCTTGGAGCCAATAAAGACTAAGAGAAGTTGACTCAAAAATAAATTGTGTTATGAGCTCCGTTGTAGAATTCTGACCTAACCATTTAAGTACGAAGCGGTGGGAACGATGAGACCTGTGACCGAAAAAAAAATTTATTGAACAAACAAATCTTACTCATTCACTAGTAGGGATGGCGAAATGAACCAAAAAGAAATCTGAGAAGTCACGAAGAAGCGCTACGACTGAATATAGAGATTACAAAAGGAAATATTCGCCCGCGAAAGCTTTTTTCTTTGACTTGGTAGAAGGACAAAAGAAACTAAAGATTTATTAGAAGGTTCGAAAAAATTATTATTTTGATTTTGAAAATATTTTAGGAAAATGTGCGAATATCTGTTCAAATTAATTGAAATTGAATTTTGAATCCTTTCTATTCGCGAGGAGCTGAATGAGAAGAAACTCTCATGTCCAGTTCTGTAGTAGAGATGGAATTCCGAACCAACTATCAACTATAACCCCAAAAGAACTAGATTCCGTAAACAACATAGAGGAAGAATAAAGGAATATCATATAGAGGTAATCATATTTGTTTCGGGAAATATGCTCTTCAGGCACTTGAACCCGCTTGGATCACATCTAGACAAATCGAAGCGGGTCGACGAGCAATGACACGAAATGCACGCCGTGGTGGAAAAATATGGGTGCGTATATTTCCAGACAAACCAGTTACAGTAAGACCCGCTGAAACACGTATGGGTTCTGGGAAAGGATACCCGGAATATTGGGTAGCTGTTGTTAAACCAGGGAAAATACTCTATGAGATGGGTGGAGTAAGTGAAACTATTGCTAGAAGGGCTATTTTAATAGCCGCATCCAAAATGCCTATACGAACTCAATTTGTTATTTCGGTCTAAAAATGTAGAACCGACAGAAATGAGTTTTGGGAATGAAACAAAATTGCAGGTTTCTTTTTTGGACAACCAATATCTCTTTTAGTTTTTTCATCTTTTGCATTGAAAGAATAGAGCAAAAACTTGATATGATTCAACCTCAGACCCATTTGAATGTAGCGGATAACAGCGGAGCTCGAGAATTGATGTGTATTCGAATCATAGGAGCTAGTAATCGTCGATATGCTCATATTGGTGACGTTATTGTTGCCGTGATCAAAGAAGCAGTACCAAATATGCTCCTAGAAAAATCCGAGGTAGTCAGAGCTGTGATTGTTCGTACCTGTAAAGAACTTAAACGTGACAGCGGTATGATAATACGATATGATGACAATGCTGCAGTTGTAATTGATCAAGAAGGAAATCCAAGGGGAACTCGAATTTTGGCGCAATTCCCCGGGAATTAAGACAATTAAATTTTACTAAAATAATTTCATTAGCTCCCGAGGTATTATAAAATAAAATAAGATCGTGATATCTTTGATTTATTTGACAGAAATAAATTAATAACGAAATTAATTCGTAGTATTGTGTCTCACGTCATACACCTTGCAAAATTCATACTTCGAAACCAATAAAAACAAAAAAACATGTTGATTATATCCAATTTGAAAGCAACAATCATCTTAGTTCATCATGGGTAGAGACACTATTGCTGAGATAATAACCTCGATACGAAATGCCGATATGGATAGAAAAAGAGTTGTTCGCATAGCATCTACTAATATTACCAAAAATATTGTTAAAATCCTTTTCCGAGAAGGTTTTATCGAAAACGTCCGAAAACAGAGAGAAAAGACAACTATTTTTTGGTTTTAACCCTGGGACATAGAAGAAATAGGAAAAGACCCTATAGAAAATTTTTAAATTTAAAACGGATTAGCCGACCGGGTCTACGAATCTATTCCAACTCTCAACAAATTCCTAGAATTTTGGGTGGGATGGGAATTCTAATTCTTTCTACTTCTCGAGGCATAATGACAGACCGGGAGGCTCGACTACAAGGAATCGGCGGAGAGAATTTTGTGTTCCGTATGGTAATCCTTTTACTATCGAAATGGAATCCGAAACCTCTTCCTATTTGTAAAAAAAAGAAAGAGGATCAGTTGCCTAATATCCTTTCTTCACCATTAGTTGATACTTCAGGGGGTCTTTACCTGGAATGAAAGAACAAAAATGGATTCATGAGGGTTTAATTACTGAATCACTTCCCAATGGCATGTTCCGGGTTCGGTTAGATAATGAAGATCTGGTTCTAGGTTATGTTTCAGGGAAGATCCGACGTAGTTTTATACGGATACTGCCGGGAGATAAAGTCAAAATTGAAGTAAGTCGTTATGATTCAACCAGAGGACGTATAATTTATCGACTCCGAAACAAGGATTCGAAAGATTAGGTGGTTTTTATTCACTACGATTCTAGATGAAAAATTTCAAGAAACTTCTTTTCTACCAAAAAGTAAATTCGGAATTAAGATATAAGATAAGGAATAAAAACTATGAAAATAAGAGCTTCTGTTCGTAAAATTTGTGAAAAATGTCGACTAATTCGCAGGCGGGGTCGCATTAGACTAATTTGTTCCAACCCGAGACATAAACAAAGACAAGGATAATCCGACTTGCTAAAGGACTCAATATACAAATAAAGAATCTCTTTTGACATGAAATGGATATATCCATATATTTCTGACTCATATTTATGAGATGATACAATATGGCAAAAGCTATACCGAGAACCGGTTCGCGTAGGAATGTACGTATTGGTTCACGTAAGAGTGCACGTAGAATCCCAAAGGGAGTTATTCATGTTCAAGCAAGTTTCAATAACACAATTGTAACGGTTACAGATGTACGGGGTCGGGTAGTCTCCTGGTCCTCGGCCCGGTACTTGTGGATTGAAGGGTACGAGAAGAGGGACACCCTTTGCCGCCCAAACAGCGGCAGCAAATGCTATTCGTACAGTAGTCGATCAAGGTATGCAACGAGCAGAAGTCATGATAAAAGGCCCCGGTCTCGGAAGAGACGCGGCATTACGAGCTATTTGTCGAAGTGGTATACTATTAACTTTTATACGAGATGTAACCCCTATGCCACATAATGGCTGTAGACCCCCGAAAAAAAGACGTGTGTAGAAATGAACAGTGAATAAATTTCAAGAGAAACAAGAGAAATAATTCAATAAAATAAAATAATAATACTATGGTTCGAGAGAAAGTAACAGTATCTACTCGGACACTACATTGGAAGTGTGTTGAATCGAGAACAGATAGTAAACGCCTTTATTATGGGCGCTTTATTCTATCTCCCCTTATGAAAGGACAAGCCGACACAATCGGCATTGGGATTCGAAGAGCTTTGCTGGGAGAAATAGAAGGAACATGTATCACACGTGTAAAATCTGAGAATGTCCCCCATGAATACTGTACTATAATGGGTATTCAAGAATCGATTCATGAAATTTTCATAAATTTGAAAGAAATTGTATTGAGAAGTAATCTATATGGAACTTGTGACGCGTATATTTCTGTCAGGGGTCCTGGATATGTAACTGCTCAAGATATCATCGTACCGCCTTATGTAGAAATCGTCGACAATACACAACATATAGCTAGCTTGACAGAACCAATTAGTTTGTGTATTGGATTAAAAATCCAGAGAAATCGCGGCTATCTTCGAAAAATGCCGCATAACTTGAAAGATGGAAGTTATCCTATAGATGCTGTATTCATGCCTGTTCGAAATGTGAATCATAGTATTCATTCGTATGGGAATGGGAATCAAAAACAAGAAATACTCTTTCTCGAAATATGGACAAATGGGAGTTTAACCCCGAAAGAAGCACTTCATGAAGCCTCTCGGAATTTAATTGATTTATTTAGTTCCTTTTTTAAAAAGGAAGAAGAAAACGTACCTTTAGAGAACAATCAAGACATGGTTCCTTTATCCCCTTTTTCTTTTCACGATAAATTGAATAAACTCAGAAAAAACAAAAAAAAAATAGCAGTAAAATCGATTTTTATTGATCAATCCGAATTTTCTCCCAGAGTCTATAATTGCCTGAAAAGGTCCAATATATATACATTATCGGACCTTTTGAATAAGAGTCAAGAAGAGCTTAGGAAAATTGAACATTTTTGCCTAGACGATGTAAAAAAGATATTAGGCATTGTAGAAAAACATTTCGCAATTGATTTACCAAAAAAGAGGTTTGAAATCTATTGAATCTTTTTCGTCTATTTTGAATTAAGATTCAAATAGGTTTTGAATCTGTAGTACAATTCATCTATTCGAAAGAGATTCAGAATTTTATTGAATAGATGTATCTAGGGATAATTCACTTTGAAGCGATTATTCCCTAGATACACACGTCATGTTATTTCACAATTGAATCAAATTAAAAAAGACCTAAAGTTAGAGATTTATCAATGGGTAATGTTGCACCAATACCCAACCAAAGAGCGACTGCGGTACCAATCAAAAAGATGGTTGTCGCTACTGGACGACGAAATGGATTTTGGAACTTATTAACATTCTCTAAAAAAGGTACCGTTAATAATCCCGCAGGCACTGAAACCATTAAAAGAACACCCAATAATTATTGGGCACCGTACGAAGTATTTGAAATACGGGGAAAGAAATACCATTCCGGTAATATTTCCAAAGGAGTTGCAAATGGATCTGCCGGTTCACCAATCATTGATGGTTCTAGAACCGCTAAACCTACGTTACATGCAATAGTACCTAGAATTACTACCGGAAAAATATATAAAAGATCATTGGGCCATGCAGGTTCTCCATAATAATTATGACCCATACCTTTAGCCAATTTAGCTCTTAATACAGGATCATTCAAATCAGGTTTTTTGTTATTGGGATAGGTGAATTCTTAGAGATGCATCCCCCGAAGGAACCGGACATGATAATTTTTATCATCCGGCTCAAGCAAGACTCAACAGAACCAAATGAATTCATAAAAAATCTATGTGTTGCATATATCTACACATATGTGAATGATTCAATGTAAGAAAAATTGGACTCTTTTTCCAAATGGAAACTATCTATTACAAAGAATTCGGTTCTAAGCTAAGTAAATACTCAATACCCAAGTAGGCTTACAAAGTTGATCATGATATGATCAAGTGCTTTCTGGGTCGTCTCAAACTTTACGATTACTATGTTATCTCAAAAATAGCTGGAGATACACATAGAAAAGGTTTACTTGTTACTAATTTAGTCTAGCCTATATTTTTCTTTAGATCTCTTCTTTCACTCCGATAGTATTATCGATGATATCAATGCAGAGGAAATGAATGCATCTTCACACTATTGCATTTTAAGTATTTAAGTAGGAAATTCAGTAAGTGAACTAGATAAAGCAGAATCTTTATCTAGTTGACTTAACTATACTAGATTTTACGGAGCCTGCTCATGTACAACACGATTCGGACCTGATCATAGAAAAGATTCTCTTTAAGCGAATCAGCCTATCTTCTGTATTAAGGGTTACATGGTGGTTGGAACAAAGACACATTTTGATGTGAATTGCAATGCGGCAGACATCTATCTACACAGATCAATCAATAGTTCAAGTCACACACTCCCATAATCCATTTTCTCTTCGGAGAATTCTCTTCAACTGCGCAATAGTATTTTGATTCGTTGAAGGGAAACATCCAAATCCATGTCTTATTCTTTTCAATAATCCATACTTGTAGCAATAAAATCCTATTATTTCTCCTCTAAGTGATAAATGATTGATTCCAAATATCTATTAGATATCTTCTCTATAAAGGACCAGAAATACCTTGCTTACGTATCATTAGAAAGTGCATTAACATAAATACAGCAGTAAGAAGCGGCAATACAAAAGTGTGTAAACTATAAAAACGAGTCAAGGTGGATTGTCCCACACTAGCACTTCCGCGCAATAATTCTACCAAAGGTGATCCTATTCCAGGAATAGCCTCAGGTACACCTGTTACAATTTTCACTGCCCAATAACCAATTTGGTCCCGAGGCAAGGAATAACCAGTTACGCCAAAAGATGCGGTCAATACTGCCAGAACCACACCCGTAACCCAAGTTAATTCGCGGGGTTTTTTAAATCCACCGGTGAGATATACACGAAAAACATGTAGAATCATCATCAGGACCATCATACTTGCCGACCATCGATGAACTGATCGGATTAACCAACCAAAGTTAGCTTCCGTCATTATGTATTGAACAGAGGCAAAAGCTTCAGTAACAGTCGGACGATAGTAAAAAGTCATAGCAAACCCGTAGCTACTTGTACTAAAAAACAAGTAAGCGTAATTCCCCCTAAACAATAAAATATATTGACATGGGGAGGAACATATTTACTAGTTATATCATCCGCAATTGACTGAATCTCGAGGCGTTCTTCGAACCAATCATAGACTTTATTGAGATAGGTCAAAATCCCCCTCTTAGAACCGTATATGAGACTTTCATCTCGTACAGCTCAAAAAAAACACCCAAATTCAAAAGAAAAAAAAAGAGTCAGATATGGACTAGAAAGTTATGCAATAGAAAAAGTTATGCAATAGAAAGTTTGAAATTTCTTAATCTACGATTCAATCTTTTCTAAATGCACGAAAGAAATCCAAAAGCTCTTCTTTACGGTGATAATACTAAAATATCAAGTTGGCTCCATTTTATTTGTTTAATCCTTACAGGCCTCTTGAATCCTCTCTTTGCCTATTTCTTTTTCTTTCATTTTTTTGTTTCTACTGTGTCTTTTTTCTTTCTTTATTATTGAATTGATAGGAATTCTCTTGTTAAGACCCTATGGATTGATTAAAACCTCAGATTCATACTAGAACCACGATGATTCAATAAAAAATCATAAGCTAAGCCAAGGATTCCTTGAGTAAGAGCCATTGGACTATCACATATTTCATGAATTAGACTAAAAAAAGAAAGATTTTCTTTTTTTCAAACAGTTTGAAATTTTTTGGTGTCTGTCGGACACGAGGTCGAATATTAAGTATGAATCATAGTTCAAATATTTCTTAATCTAGTTCATTATAGTTTGTGTTCCAGATACTTGAAGAAATATCCGACGAAGTAGAACCATCTCTATCAAGGTGACAGACCTAGTCTCTGTACTATCAATAGAATCAATTAGAACAAGTCACACACTCATATTCCGGAAATACAGAAAGAAAGAAATTCCACGATCGAACTACCAAAATAGAATAGGCCATAAATCCAAGTTCTAACTGATTTTTTTTTGGTTCCAAAATGAAAACTTTGTGGTTCTTAGAGATTTAATTCATTGAAATTCCATCCAATAAAACAGACGAATTATAAATCTCCAAAATAATAGATAGAAATACCGCAAATAGAGCCATTGCGACTCCCATCAAAGGGGTCGTTCCCCAACCTGGAGCTACTTTACCATATTCCGAATTCAATGGTTTTAATAAACTCCCTACAGTAGTTCGTCTTGGGCCCGATCTAGAACTGTTCTCAACAGTTTGTGTAGCCATAAATTCTATTGTATTCATTGAGATCTGTTGACTTTGTATACCATTCCGTTGTAAATAAACAATCTTATGAGAAATCCTAACGGATCTTGAAATGATAGAATCATAGTGGAAACAGCAACCCTAGTCGCCATCTTTATATCTGGTTTACTTGTCAGTTTTACCGGGTATGCCTTATATACCGCTTTTGGGCAACCTTCTCAACAACTAAGAGATCCATTCGAGGAACATGGGGACTAGTTGAAGTAATGAGCCCCCCCGGGGGGGCTCATTACTTCAATTGAGATAATGAAAAATCATTTCAGCTTTTTAGTTGGAACTTTAGGTGGTTCTCGAAAAAAGATAGCAAAAAAATTATTCCTAGAGTCGAGACTAAAAGGAATGTATAAACCAAAGCTTCCATAGATTCGATTGTGATTTACAATTATAGCTTCCCTACCTGTTTGTTTTTTCTTTTTTTTTTTATTCTTTTTGGTAATCATCTCGAAAGAGCAAGAGTTCAAAAGCAGCGATTCAAATTCACTCCGATACTCTATCGAAAATTCCTTGCAAAACCAAAAAATAGAGGCGAAAGAGATACCAAAGCGGTCTTGTATCAAACTGCCTGTCTTCTTGTAGTTGGATCCCCAATTTTTTGAAATGCTCCAAACTCTACTTGAGCATCCAAATCTGGGTCAATACCAGCAAAAACATCTCTGAACAAAGTTCTAGCACCATGCCAAATGTGTCCGAAGAAAAAAAAAGCAAAGCAAACGAAGCATGTCCAAAAGTAAACCAACCCCTTGGACTGCTACGAAAAACACCATCGGATTTCAAAGTCGCCCGATCTAATTCAAAAATTTCACCCAATTGAGCACGTCTAGCATATTTCTTGACGGTAGCAGGATCACTATAAGTGACTCCATTGAGTTCGCCACCATAGAACTCAACGGTTACACCCACCTGTTCAACACTATACTTCGATTCTGCTCTTCGAAAGGGGACATCGGCTCTAACAATTCCGTCGCCATCTACTAAAACGACTGGAAATGTTTCGAAAAAAGTAGGCATACGACGTACAAAAAGCTCACGCCCTTCTTTATCCCTAAAAATAGGGTGCCCTAACCATCCAACCGCTATTCCATCCCCGTTATCCATCGAACCCGCCCTGAATAATCCTCCTTTTGCCGGATTATTGCCAATATAATCGTAAAAAAGCTAATTTTTCAGGAATTTTCGACCAGGCTTCTGATAAACTTTGATTTTCTGCTAGCCCGACGCTAACTCTTCGATAGATCTCTTGCTGGAAGTAACCCTGATCCCATTGATAACGAGTAGGACCAAATAATTCAATGGGGGTAGTTGCTGAACCATACCACATAGTTCCAGCAACAACAAAAGCTGCAAAAAAGACAGCCGCGATACTACTGGAGAGTACGGTTTCGATATTTCCCATGCGCAATCCTTTGTATAGACGTTGTGGCGGTCGAACGCTAAGATGGAATAGACCCGCTAATATGCCCAATGTACCTGCTGCAATATGATGAGAAGCTATTCCTCCCGGAACAAAAGGATCAAAACCTTCCACGCCCCACAACGGATTTACAGGTTGTACTTTTCCCGTTAATCCATAAGGATCGGACACCCAGATTCCAGGACCGTACAGGCCTGTTACATGAAATGCACCAAAACCAAAACAAGCCACCCCGGAGAGAAATAAATGAATTCCAAAGATCTTAGGTAAATCCAAAGAAGGTTTTCCTGTACGTTCATCGCAAAAAATTTCTAGATTCAATCCAGATCCCAATACAGCCAATGCCAATGCCAACATAAGCCAGAAAACACAAATATTGCCCCACACACCCTCCTCACTCCAAATCCCCGGATTTGTTACAGTCCCTCCTGTGATACTCCAACCTCCCCACGAATTGGTTATTCCTAAACGAGTCATGAAGGGTATAACGAACATACCCTGTCTCCACATTGGATCAAGAACAGGGTCAGAAGGATCAAAAACGGCTAATTCATACAGAGCCATCGAACCCGCCCAACCAGCAACCAGAGCTGTATGCATTATATGAACGGAAAGCAACCGGCCGGGATCATTCAATACAACGGTATGAACACGATACCAAGGCAAACCCATGGAAAATACCCCCTTATCAAAGAAAAATAGACACTACGTAACTTTATTGCATTGCAAAGACTGTAATACTATGATTATCCTATAGACTGCACTTCTTCAGTGGATTATTTACTAACAAGGGTTAAGTTAATATTTATTAACTTCTGTTCCTAATAATGGAAGAATTCTGTTCGTAGAAACAACGATAAGCAGATTTATTCTATACTCGATAAGTACCAATACGCAATGGGAGATTGATGCCAGTTTCTATGAGTAAATATGTCTATCCTTAATTTCTCATTAGGAAAACCTATTTGTAAAAATTTTCCTTTATTGATTTTGTCTTTCTTTCTGAATTTTTGAATCTTTGGATAAAAAAATATGATAAAGCCAATATTCGAAAATAGAGACAATAAAACCATATTATTACGTTTCCGCATCAAAGTGAAATTTAGTTCTTTTTTTTTCAATTCATGCCTATTGGTGTTCCAAAAGTACCCTTCCGAATTCCTGGAGATGACGATGCATCTTGGGTTGACGTATAGTGGGACTTGTCAAATAGATTGGGTCATATGGTATTTCCCCGTTCTCGTCCCCGCCTCTATTTCGCCAAAAAAGAGAAATTGAATCATCCAAAAATTGGAGTGTGAAGTGCAATTCGATGCATTGTTTGGAGGAATTCATAGTTTTATTATCAATTAGAATGATTTATGGTTGGCTCTTGTTGGACTAAAAAATGAAGTATCCAGGCTCCGTTTAGAAAAAAACCCAATTAGGAGCATATCTATAATTAGTGTATCATAAATGATTCCTGTTTGTTATTTCTAAAGTCATAACAAAAAGAAATGGTGATGAGAAGATTTGTCCTATATGTGCAAATCGAAATCGGCCGGATCTTTACCCGAGTAGAGCATAAACCTAAAAAAATGAAATAGGCCCATTCAGGAACATGAAAACACCATCGTGATTTGGATTGAATCTCGAGATGAAACAATACATCAATGAGAAGTTAATTCAATAAGTTTATTAACTTTTTTCTATTCTAAGAAAGAAACTAAGTCAAAACTCGTCGTTATTGAAAAAAAGCCCTTTCGGTAGAAGTTCGAAAAAACCTGCTATTAAAAAGAATAGGAAAAAGGAAAGAGGACTAGAATTTATACATTGATTCTTTTTTTTGAACCGTATGCATCAAAAGGTGCATGTACGGTTCCTAGGGGATGCAATTTTACCCCACTCAACCGACTTTATCAAGAAAGATTCCTTTTTTTAGGCCAAGAAGTTGATAGCGAGATCTCGAATCAACTTATTGGTCTTATGGTATATTTCAGTCTTGAGAATGCTGCCAAAGATTTCTATTTGTTTATAAACTCCCCTGGCGGGTGGGTAATAGATGGATTAGCTATTTATGATACTATGCAGTTTGTGCGCCCAGAGGTCCATACAATATGCATGGGACTAGCCGCGTCAATGGGATCTTTGCTCCTGGTTGGGGGAGCAATTACCAAACGTTTCGCATTCCCTCACGCTTGGCGCCAATGAGGTTTTTGATTTGAGAGAAAAAAGAAAACTATGCCTTCGCCATATGAATATTAAGTAATAATAGCATGGCACTTCGAATTCGATATGGAAAATTTTTGTATTGTTTTTTTTTTCAAAAGATTCAATTATGTATCGAGAGATTAGTATGAAATAAAAGGTATTTCCCATTTTCTCTTATTTATTGGGAAGCCAATTCAGCGTTACAAACCTTTTTGTTTTCACACCGAAGGGCTCTTAACAATATTTATGTTCTATAAAAAAGAGTGCGAAAAAAAAAAACAAGATTTTTCCTTTTTTGGTTGGATTAAAAAGAAACTTTGGGATTGCTCAATCAAAGACAAAAAAAAAATTTTTGAAATAGAAAGCAACGGAGCCATCATAGTATTTTTGAACCCTACGAAAGGAAAGGGTGGCGGCGTTTTGATCATTTACCCATCTAGGGCTTGGGCTTGGAGCTGATAGATTTTTTCTATTTCTTGAATTTGAAGGGTCAATTTGATTGTAGAGCCGTATGCAATGCACAAAAGATGATGCCCGTACGGTTGCTCAATTCGATCTTTTTTTCCTATTATTCTTTATCCTTATTTCCTCTTCGTTTCATCACACCAGATAGAGAACCCTTCTATCATCAGGGTAATGATCCATCAACCCGCTAGTTCTTTTTATGAGGCGCAAACGGGGGAATTTATCTTGGAAGCGGGAAGAACTGCTGAAACTACGCGAAACCATCACAAGGGTTTATGTACAAAGGACGGGCAAACCATTATGGGTTGTATCTGAAGACATGGAAAGAGACGTTTTTATGTCAGCAACAGAAGCCCAAGCTTATGGAATTATTGATTTTGTAGCAGTTCAATGACAAAAAAAGGGATTTTGTGAAAATCCGGGATTTGATATTTTATCTCCGGGTTTACTATTTATTAATATTTTTTTAATACAAATAATTTAGAATCACCGGTTAGGATTATCTAAAACCTGCCCATTATGTATATGATTCAACATGCCTACTATTAAACAACTTATTAGAAATACAAGACAGCCGATTCGAAATGTCCCGAAATCCCCCGCTCTTGGGGCTGTCCTCAGCGTCGAGGAACATGTTACTAGGGGTGTATGTGCGACTCGTTTCGATTATGAGCTGACGAAAAAAAAAAAGAAAGAAAACCGATTTTCGGTATGTTGGGATGAATGATCAATACCAGTAAATAGGATAGAATAGAGGAAAGAACTCTATTCACTATCGAAAAATAAGCAAATCGATTCCTCTATTGTGTCTAAAGTTTATGGTTTCCGTTGGTGCAAATCCAATCACCGGATTTCAGATAAGAAAAATTCTCCATTGATAGCAAACGTATCCATTAAGCGGAGGAAATCTTATGAAATTCAAAAACAAAAAAAAAACATAAACTGAGGTTTGCACTCGGTCAAGAAAGGACTACGAAGGTCAGCTACCCCAGCTAACTTTCCTAATTAAATATCGTTATGTATAGGTCGGTTCTGATTGTTTGAAAGGGTCCTGTTACTGGATAATTCGTGGGTAGGCCGCAGCGCGAAGAGTGTGGTTATGCCCTAGCACGTTCGCCGCAACATTGATTCCTGCTT